GTGTCCCTTCTGGGTGGGAAGCGTTGATGAGTCCTGGAAGCCTGCCAGCCACCCTCTTCCCCACTCCTGGGTACTCGCCATCTGCCGCTCTCACAGGGAAGCTGGGCCTGTCGTCACTCGTGGGGGCCACACGCTGGGCGTCCGGGATGTGGCTGGGCTGGAGCTCTGTGTGGGGCAGGTGGGGCCCTGCCCTTGGCCCTCACGCTCCACCCTGCGGTGGTTGGGGCTGAGCCTCCCAGAACTTCCAGGGGTCTGGGCCATGGGGAGCACCTTGCTGCTCCCCTGGCCTGCAGGAATCTGCCATCAGGAGGCCCACACCCTGGTTGGGTCCTGGCTGCTGCTTTCCGGCTATTCGGGGACACATGTCTCCTTCACTGACCTCAGTGACCAGCCCTCCTTGCCTCAGGCTGCTCCTGAGCACGGAGGGTGGGCGTGGGCAGTGCCCCTCCCTGCCCGGCGTCTGCTGCAGCCCTGTTTGCTGAGCCCACACCCTGGCGAGCCCCAGGACAGGCTGGACCTGCCGTCGGGTAGGGGAAAGGTTGCTGACCTGCTTTCTCCGCACAGTGTCACATCTGCCATTGATAGGTACACAAACAGGAAGTCCTGCCACGTGGCTGCCCAACACTCACGAAACCCGAGTTTGTTCGCTCAGCAAATATTTGCTGATGCTGCTCCCCAGAAGCCCCGTGCTGGGCCAAGGGCCAGATGAGACTGGGGAACCGGGCCCTGTTTATTCATCCACCATTTATTGAGTGCCTTCTGCATACTAATAACAGCCAGCACATATTAGGCGCCCACAGTGTACAAACTACTACAGATACACAATCTCCACTTTTCTCAGCAACCCTGCAAGAATAGGGAGGCTCGTTTCATTGCAGAGTTTAGAAAACCAAGGCTCAGAGAGGAGGACTGCATGCATAGGGTTGCACAGCTAGGAAGTAGCAGAGATGGGACTCAAACCCAGGCCTGTGTGAGGTAGAACCTGTGCTCTTTCAACTGCTGTCAGCTCCCCAGGTGTCAGAGGGATCTGGGGAGGGGACAGGTGGGAACAGAGCTTGGGCATTGGGATAAGGGCAGTCCTTGACGTAGAGGGTGGGGAGTAGGCTTTAGGAGTGTAATAGAACCTCTGCATGCACCCAAGTACTTACTGCTGAATGAGTGACCACATGAGGATGCCCCCTGAATTGAGGGGGTCTGGGAAGGCTTGGAATGTGGGGTATCTGAGCTGGATTTTGAAGACTGTGGAGTTTTGCTGGGTGATAGGAGGAGAGACAAGCCTTTCGGGTGGAAGCATGGGCTTGGTCAAAGGCCTGAGGGCAGGACAGTCTGTGCTATGTCCAAGAGTGTCCTGTCTGCCTGGGGCATGGGCTTGTGGGGCACTAAGGTGTGGGGTGTGAAGGTGTGGGTGTGAAGGTGTGGGTGTGAAGGTGTGGGGTGTTAAGCATGCTAAAGAGTTGGCACCTCAAGAGCTGTGTAAAAGGCTCTCGTTTGGGCCATAAGGGGTGTTGGAGAGGCTTTTAGTGACATGGAGCACACAGGCCAAAGTTCTAGGAGTTCACGTACTCCTTGCCGCCCTCGAGCACTGGGCATGGAGGCACGAAAGGACATTCTGGAGGAGGGTACAGCCCAACAAAGGCTGAGAGTAGGACCAAGCCCACGCTCCAGGGCAGTGGTCCATGAGGTCCTGCTGGAGTTGGAGGGCAGTGGGTGCTGACCAGACTCTCCTACCCCACCCCCTTCTTTCCCACAGAGCGCAGCCCTTGAATGTAATTTTGGGCAGGAGGACATCTTTGAGGCCGTGTGGGTGAATGAATCAGCTGTGCTCTGTAACCAAGTGGTGGTAAGTGGTGTGGCTCTCGCGGGGGCAGGGGGAGGCCTGCACAAGTCCACATGCTGCACTGTCTTCTTCCCATTTAACCTCCTGCTCCTGTTGGTCCCCCCATTCCCAACAGCTCTGCCCTCAGCTATCTCCATGGCACCCTCTCCCCCAGCAGAGACCCGGACACCATCTATACCCCTCACGCTTTTCCCATCCTTTTGCAGCTGCACACGACCCAGAAGAGCCAGGTGTTTCCACTCAGCCTCCAACTAAAGGGACGGCCAGCTCGGTTCCTGGACAGCCCTGACCCCATGACAGGTTGGAGCCCCCATCCACCCACATGGCTCCAGGGGACTCAGCCACCATGGGTGGGCTCGGCCGTGGGGGGTCTCCTCCCAGTGCTCACTGTACAGGCACAGCTGCCCCCCCTTGCCATCCCTAATGCACACAGGCTCTTGATGCCAGCCCTGCCACCCAGTACCTGGTCATTTAGTATTTATTTATTTACTTAAAGAAAAACAGCAGCCCAAAGATTTATTTTTTACTCAGTTTACATACTCATAGGTTGGCTTGGGGCTCCACTGTGTGCCATTAATTTTTTTAAAATAATTTAATTCTTTTATTGGATTTATTGTGGTGACATTGTAGTACGTATGTATTGAGCAGCTGCTCTGGGCCAGGTACCATGCCCTCGGGTCATCTCCAAGCCCATGGCTGTGTAGCCTCGGGCGTGTCCTTGCCCTTCCCTCTCTGGGCCGCAGTGTCCCCAGGTGAAACGAGGGCACAGGACCTTTTGCAGGGGCCTTGGGAGGATTTGTGGGGATGAGGCACACAAAGCTAGCAGGTGCCTGGGGCACCATCAGCCCCCAAACGGCGGTTGGTGTCCTTACTCTCATCCGATGTTTGAATCGACTCTCCAAAGGCCTGTCTGCTCATGGGGAGTCTCAGACATCCCTCGTGGGCATGGGCTCCCCACATCCCCACTACCGAGGCCTCAGACCCAGCCTCACACCGCGGCCTGGAGAACCCGCAAACATTTGCTGAGGCTGCTCCCCAGAAGCCCCGTGCTGGGCCAAGGGCCAGATGAGACTGGGGATCCGGGCCCTGTTTATTTCCCCACCATTTATCGAGTGCCTTCTGCATACTAATAACAACCAGCACATATTAGGCGCCCACAGTGTACAACCTACTACAGATACACAATCTCCACTTTTCTCAGCAACCCTGCAAGAATAGAGGCTCGTTTCCTACTACAGATACACAATCTCCACTTTTCTCAGCAACCCTGCAAGAATAGGGAGGCTCGTTTCATTGCAGAGTTTAGAAAACCAAGGCTCAGAGAGGAGGACTGCATGCATAGGGTTGCACAGCTAGGAAGTAGCAGAGATGGGACTCAAACCCAGGCCTGTGTGAGGTAGAACCTGTGCTCTTTCAACTGCTGTCAGCTCCCCAGGTGTCAGAGGGATCTGGGGAGGGGACAGGTGGGAACAGAGCTTGGGCATTGGGATAAGGGCAGTCCTTGACGTAGAGGGTGGGGAGTAGGCTTTAGGAGTGTAATAGAACCTCTGCATGCACCCAAGTACTTACTGCTGAATGAGTGACCACATGAGGATGCCCCCTGAATTGAGGGGGTCTGGGAAGGCTTGGAATGTGGGGTATCTGAGCTGGATTTTGAAGACTGTGGAGTTTTGCTGGGTGATAGGAGGAGAGACAAGCCTTTCGGGTGGAAGCATGGGCTTGGTCAAAGGCCTGAGGGCAGGACAGTCTGTGCTATGTCCAAGAGTGTCCTGTCTGCCTGGGGCATGGGCTTGTGGGGCAGAGGTGTGGTGTGAAGGTGTGGGTGTTAAGGCGTGGGTGTGAAGGTGTGGGTGTGAAGGTGTGGGGTGTTAAGCATGCTAAAGAGTTGGCACCTCACGAGCTGAGTAAAAGGCTCTCGTTTGGGCCATAAGGGGTGTTGGAGAGGCTTTTAGTGACATGGAGCACACAGGCCAAAGTTCTAGGAGTTCACGTACTCCTTGCCGCCCTCGAGCACTGGGCATGGAGGCACGAAAGGACATTCTGGAGGAGGGTACAGCCCAACAAAGGCTGAGAGTAGGACCAAGCCCACGCTCCAGGGCAGTGGTCCATGAGGTCCTGCTGGAGTTGGAGGGCAGTGGGTGCTGACCAGACTCTCCTACCCCACCCCCTTCTTTCCCACAGAGCGCAGCCCTTGAATGTAATTTTGGGCAGGAGGACATCTTTGAGGCCGTGTGGGTGAATGAATCAGCTGTGCTCTGTAACCAAGTGGTGGTAAGTGGTGTGGCTCTCGCGGGGGCAGGGGGAGGCCTGCACAAGTCCACATGCTGCACTGTCTTCTTCCCATTTAACCTCCTGCTCCTGTTGGTCCCCCCATTCCCAACAGCTCTGCCCTCAGCTATCTCCATGGCACCCTCTCCCCCAGCAGAGACCCGGACACCATCTATACCCCTCACGCTTTTCCCATCCTTTTGCAGCTGCACACAACCCAGAAGAGCCAGGTGTTTCCACTCAGCCTCCAACTAAAGGGACGGCCAGCTCGGTTCCTGGACAGCCCTGACCCCATGACAGGTTGGAGCCCCCATCCACCCACATGGCTCCAGGGGACTCAGCCACCATGGGTGGGCTCGGCCGTGGGGGGTCTCCTCCCAGTGCTCACTGTACAGGCACAGCTGCCCCCCCTTGCCATCCCTAATGCACACAGGCTCTTGATGCCAGCCCTGCCACCCAGTACCTGGTCATTTAGTATTTATTTATTTACTTAAAGAAAAACAGCAGCCCAAAGATTTATTTTTTACTCAGTTTACATACTCATAGGTTGGCTTGGGGCTCCACTGTGTGCCATTAATTTTTTTAAAATAATTTAATTCTTTTATTGGATTTATTGTGGTGACATTGTAGTACGTATGTATTGAGCAGCTGCTCTGGGCCAGGTACCATGCCCTCGGGTCATCTCCAAGCCCATGGCTGTGTAGCCTCGGGCGTGTCCTTGCCCTTCCCTCTCTGGGCCGCAGTGTCCCCAGGTGAAACGAGGGCACAGGACCTTTTGCAGGGGCCTTGGGAGGATTTGTGGGGATGAGGCACACAAAGCTAGCAGGTGCCTGGGGCACCATCAGCCCCCAAACGGCGGTTGGTGTCCTTACTCTCATCCGATGTTTGAATCGACTCTCCAAAGGCCTGTCTGCTCATGGGGAGTCTCAGACATCCCTCGTGGGCATGGGCTCCCCACATCCCCACTACCGAGGCCTCAGACCCAGCCTCACACCGCGGCCTGGAGAACCCTTCCTGTACGCCTTCTTGGGCCACTCCCAGGGTCTGCGGCCTGCAGAACCCACGCTGCTCAGTGTTTCCCAGCATCCCGGACCTCCGCTGTGGGGTAAAAAGACCCACTCAGACATGGGTGCGCATCCCAGCTCCGTCACTCATAGGCTCTGTGACCTTGACCAGTCACTCGACCTCTCTGAGCCTCCTCTCTTGTCTGCCAATTGGGGCTAATAAACAGCTCCCGTCGGATAGAATTGCGGTGGGGATGAATGGTATGAACGAGGCTGTGGCTGTCCTGGGCTTAGCACAGGCCCCAGGAGGTTTGGAGGAAGTACCAAGAACCTCCTGGGGTCCTGACCCTCAGAAACAGGGCCTGCCTGTGGGTGGGCACCACAGTGCGTGGGTGAGTGTGGAGGGGACAGCGGTCATGGGGGGCTGACCCCTGCTGCCTGCATGTCTTTCCCAGTGGAGGTCTATAACTGCGCCATGGGCAGCCCTGACTGTTCTCAGTGCCTGGGCCGGGAGGACCTAGGCCACCTGTGTGTGTGGAG